CCTGAATTACTTTTCAAGATTCCAAACGTTGTGTGTTGTATGACTCAGCTCAGGACGAAACGACAACTTGCTAAACAAGGCAGGATCGGGCCTGTATCTCACGGAATTATTTCCTCAAATGACGTATGTTTGTTTGTTTGTTTGTTTTTATTTATTTAACCAGGGGGATACATATCGCCCGTGGGGCGCTTTTCAATGAGCCCTGGGCCTGGGGAAGACCCCAAACAAAAACATCAAACTCAAACTAATACAAATAATCAACAAAAGTAACTTATAAAGTTACAAAAGTTACTAAATAATACAAAAGCAAGGTAACTTAAGTAGCATACATTGCGCATGAAATCATAATACCAAAATAAGTGAAACAAAAGTGAAGCCTGACCATCATATAACATAGAACCAAGGTAGGACAAAAAAGAAATCAAAATTAAAATCAGGCTTGGAATTTGCATATCAATGATTGCCCAGTACAAAAAGTTGTTTGAAGGCTACTAGGGTCCTGGCTGCTTTTAGGTGATGTGGTAGTGTGTTCCGCAATACCGCCCCAGACGAAGAAAAGGCACGTCTTCTGTATTCTAGCTTAGTCATTGGCAACTGTATGTGCGTATTTCCGCAGGGTTAGGTAATCTCCAGGCAGATTCGGTGGGGCAAGGGGACTTTTTGTTGGCCGCCTGTATCCCTGATTGGCCGCCCCACGATTAGAGTTCCAGACACCTCATCGCTTCATGATGTCAGACAAGGAACAAGGAACAAGGAAATCCTCACAGTGCCAGTCTTGAGCAGGCCACAGATAGACGGGTGCTTCATGCTCCACAAGCAGACTGATTTAGGCTTCGGCTTAGTTTTGAGCCGTTTTTTTCTCCTTTTTTGTGTACCAGTATCGTTTTTGACTAACCAAACGGTGGCGTATTGGATACACTGTCCTGCTACTTTGATTCCGCCAGAACATCTGCTTGGAGATCAGTTGTTTCAGACGGGGGACCCTTCCGCGCCACCCTCCCCACCGCCTCCAGCTCTTCTCACAGACATCTTGTTGTGAAGGTGGGTTTTAAACTTTCTTTTCATTCGTGTACTTTAAATGATTGTGGATGGGAGACATAGACTCACCGGAGCCTTTACCAAGGCGGTACAGTCTCAATTAATAATCACTTTGAAAAGATGTATAGAAGTCCAGCTATTTGGAGGAAATACCTTCAGTTGTTAGATACAGCTGTGGCGTTATAGAATAAATGATGGATAATATCAGGAGCTCCTCAAGGATTTTGCACTGTATTTGGATTTTACTTTCTAGTAAGAAAAACACTGGATGGCCTAAGGTCGTAAAATTGTCAAGTCAGATCAGAAAAATTACAGCTTGTTGCTAAAATGGGCATATGTACACCTCATGCATTATGTCAAGTCAAGTCAATTATGTCAGCACATCTACCCTATTGGCCCTTCCTAACAGAAAACTGAGCCACTCTGTCGTTAAAAAAGTGTTCAATAGAAACGTCTCACTTTTGGGGCCCCCCTTTTTTTTGGGGGGGG